ACATACATACATACAACATTCGCCAAATTATAGTAAGATAACCATACTAGATGCATAACATAAACGTGTTCGCGGTTCCACTAATAATTGCATCCCGTGTTAGTCACGCTATGAGTTCATCCACTCGGAAGCGACCCAAATTTCTGTTCGTCGCGCCGTTCCACCATCACGCCGAGAGAGCGACATTCCATCAATAGGGCGTGGACAGGTTACTCTGAGGAGATGGCGCGACAGCGAGCAGCTATAGCCATCGTCTCCCCACTCACTATTCACCTATGTACGACGCGACAAAACTGGATATTCATGGACGCGATGTGAAAGCGTGTTCTTACACTCGGCGGCTGCGCCTATGGTGTCCATCAATGGCTGCCCCAGTGTCCCGTGCGCCTACGTGTCCACAACCCGGCCATGCAGCTATATAACACGCTACAGACACGACAGCATTGCTATATACTGTACCCACCGCAGGGAGATTAACAGCCGTGTATGGCATCGTCAATGGTGCATGGCACCGGTCTTATACTCACATGCGCCATTTCTGTACCGTGTGGGAAGATATAAGAAATGGGGAGTAAACTGTATAAAGCCCCACCAACTATCGCGGACATTTTATACATAAACGACAAAAATAAGCACGTCGAGGATTCACATTGTCTGGCGCGTCTCGGATATGACATGATATGAGTACCTCGACAAACAGTTCTTCAAGTTTCACGTAAACGCGAACAGAGAAGCAGTTAGCCTCAGGTCTGAATAACGATAGCAGTCAAACCCGCTCTAACAGCATTCAACGCGCATAAATTAACCTGTATAGTAGAGTATATATATATATATATACTCTACTATACAGGTTAATTTATGCGCGTTGAATGCTGTTAGAGCGGGTTTGACTGCTATCGTTATTCAGACCTGAGGCTAACTGCTTCTCTGTTCGCGTTTACGTGAAACTTGAAGAACTGTTTGTCGAGGTACTCATATCATGTCATATCCGAGACGCGCCAGACAATGTGAATCCTCGACGTGCTTATTTTTGTCGTTTATGTATAAAATGTCCGCGATAGTTGGTGGGGCTTTATACAGTTTACTCCCCATTTCTTATATCTTCCCACACGGTACAGAAATGGCGCATGTGAGTATAAGACCGGTGCCATGCACCATTGACGATGCCATACACGGCTGTTAATCTCCCTGCGGTGGGTACAGTATATAGCAATGCTGTCGTGTCTGTAGCGTGTTATATAGCTGCATGGCCGGGTTGTGGACACGTAGGCGCACGGGACACTGGGGCAGCCATTGATGGACACCATAGGCGCAGCCGCCGAGTGTAAGAACACGCTTTCACATCGCGTCCATGAATATCCAGTTTTGTCGCGTCGTACATAGGTGAATAGTGAGTGGGGAGACGATGGCTATAGCTGCTCGCTGTCGCGCCATCTCCTCAGAGTAACCTGTCCACGCCCTATTGATGGAATGTCGCTCTCTCGGCGTGATGGTGGAACGGCGCGACGAACAGAAATTTGGGTCGCTTCCGAGTGGATGAACTCATAGCGTGACTAACACGGGATGCAATTATTAGTGGAACCGCGAACACGTTTATGTTATGCATCTAGTATGGTTATCTTACTATAATTTGGCGAATGTTGTATGTATGTATGTATGTATGTATGTTAATGAAAGGCTCCGTCAGTTTGGATCCAAATAGCGCTAAATTCACAGAAGAGATCGATGAGTACACGGGACGGGTTCTAAACTATACTCGGTTGAAAACCGCAAAAAAAGCTTAAAACAGACAAAACAACCCAAAAAAGGTAAACATTTGCTTGAAAATAGGGGGCACTATATCTCTTATTCATGTTGTTTGTGCACAGCGCGGGCGTGCGGTGTATTTGCGTGTTCCAGATGAGCATTTGACTGGCATTTACAGGTGATTATAGGCGAAATAGAGTAGAGAAACATTAAGACTTTGGTACATTTCGTGTTTATTTACAATTAATTTTTTACAAATCCTAGAGGCTACTGTCCCTTTAATAATTCAAACGTTCAATTGAGCAATTAAATAACGAATTGCCAAATTGAATCGCCGAATTGACGATTGGACGAATTGACGAATTGACAAATCAAAATCGAATATTGAATATTACTGAATAGGCGTATTGAATCATGGAATGGAGCAATTGCCGAGGCTCGTCTATCGAGCAATTGCCGAGGCTCGTCTATCGAGCAATTGCCGAGGCTCGTCTATCGCCAAATCAAACGCATACCTACTGCACATGCGCACAGAAGCATGACGGAAGGCGCGGTAGCACGCACGTTGCTAGAAACGCAATCGGCCGGCGTTTCCCAGCTAAGTGCGTGTACCCGCGTGTACGTGCGTGTACGTTCGTGTACCCGCGTGCACGTGCGTATACCCGCGTGTACGTGCGTGTACCCGCGGGTACGTGCGTGTATCTGCGTGTACGTGCGTGTACCCGCGTGTACGTGCGTGTACGTGCGTGTACCCGCGTGTACGTGCGTGTATCTCCGTGTACCTGCGTGTACGTGCGTGTATCTGAGTGTACGTGCGTGTACCTGCGTGTACGTGCGTGTACCAGCGAAAAAAATACACGGGAGCGGCGAGCGATTTCGCTCCCGTCAGCTTTCAAAGCGCTCTGATAACAACAATTACGAGAGCGAAAATACGAGAAAAAATCGCTCCCGTGCCGCCGGCAGCGTTCGAAATTAGTGCAGACCCGGAGGCCGAAGCCCACCAAGTTTTTGCTCGGG